GTGCTGCAGTCCATGGGGTCGCAAAGAGTTGGAAATGACTTAGTGACTGAACCACAAAGAAAAGGGACATTTATTCAAACGTAACTGAGTTATAAAGGACTAAATTGGATTCATGTAGCAAGATTCAGTTTTCAGCCATCCACACAAATGGAAGGCTTAAAGACTCAATTCAGTTCAATTAAATACAAATTTAATTGATCTGTAAAAATATCAAGAAAACTGTTTTAGTTTTGTATATCTAAGTTTATGTCTGCGTATTTTAACATAGGTTATACCACACCCCAGTGGCTCAGTGATAAAGAATCTGCCTGCAATGCAGGAGATGTGGGTTCGATCCCTGGGTTGGGAAGATCCCCTCCAGAAGGACATGGCAACCCACTCCAGTATTCTTGCCTGGAGAATCCCATGGACAGACGAATCTGGTGGGCTACAGTCCATAGGGTCGCAAAAAGAGTTGGGCACGACTGCTTAGCTAAACAACAACAACATACCATACACCAGGGTTCTTGGGGGAGGATTAAATGAAACAACAATATAGCTGCAATTTGTAGAGCTATTATTATAGCCGTTATATCATACAAATGAGAGCAGTGAAACTCATGGAAGGCTGCATAGCTCGTGGCTGGCAGAGCCTATTTGCCAATCAAGGTCTCCAACCACAGTGCTCTTTTCCACCAGACTGCCAGCCCACGTCTGCTTAATTCAATTGTGAACTTCATAGCAGTGAGCACAATATTGCATTTATGTTCCTGACCGGGCACTGTCTGGGGTCGCAGAGGGTCGGACACGACTGGGCGACTGGCCTGAAGGCACTGTCTGACACGGAGTCCCGTTTAATCGAGTAGCATGACCTCAGTGTGGTGAAGTAGCCTGCCATCTGTCTGGTGTTGGGGAAATAATTAAAAATAAAATTTTCTGACATCCCAGAAAACCTCTGCCAAGGTAGACAGGAAAGCAACAGTTTTATTGTTGAATAAGCCATAAACCAGACTGCGATGGGCATCACATGCAGTCTGCCAAAACAGTGGCAAGGACAGACATCCGTGCTCTCAGGACAAAAGCCACCAGTCCTCAAGCAAGAAGACTTGACGGCGCCATCTGTTAAATACAGCCCCCCCTAAATTCACCTGGCAACTGGGGGTGGCCCTCTGTGACAGCGAATTGCCTTTCTCCAAAGGAAAATCAAACTCTTCATATCTCCATGATAAATAGGTAGTTTTGCAACGTGGATCCAGATGGCAAAGTTATATTCCCACCTTCCCTTGAAGAAGGGGAGAGGGAACCCTATTCCTGCACTGTAAAACGATGCGACTTATTTAACCTTTAAAAAGATTTATATAGGTCTCAAAGGGGCAGAGAAGAATTTATAAGCACAAGTTTTCCGGAGGAAATGCTCTGAGAAAAGGGAGGGGGAACTGTGGCTTTCCCTTTTTCAATAAGGGAAATTTTTTTTTTTTCTTTTTAGATTTGTGTTTGCCATTTCACTGGGGAGAAAATTTATTAGGTTAGGACACAGAGCAGGGCCTGCTCTAGTGCCCAGGAGAGACAGAAGTGGTGTGAGACAGCTCAGACTCACAACCGAGCCCTCCAAGTGGCCTTTCTGGATCTCGGCAAGGAAGAGGAGAAGGGAAACTTCTCCTCTGAGAGCGCTTTGGTGATAACATCAAGGTCAGCCTCAAGGTCACAGGACGAGGGCTAGACTTGGCGTGAACTGTGAAATGTCCTATATAGCACAATGTGGTTTAGAATAAGCCTGAATATATCTGGGCCCAGATAGTCATGATGTGGTGGACGTGGTGACATCAGTTAAAAAAAAAAACAACTATGGTCTAATAGAGAACAGATGTGGTTTTCAAGGGAGAGGGAGGTAGCAGAGGGCTGGAGTGGGAGTTTCAGGTTAGTAGATACAAGCTGTTAAATATAGAATGGATTAAAAAAAAAAAACTGGGTCCTATTATTGTTACTGTATCACAGGGAGTTATATTCAATATCCTGTAATAAACCATAAAAGCAGAATGATATATGGTTCAGTGGGTAAAGAATCTGCCCGAAGTCTAGGAAACACAGGAGACACAAGTTTGATCCCTGGGTTGGGAAGATCCCCTGGAGAAGGAAAAGGCAACCCAGCCCGGTATTCTTGCCTGGGAAATCCCATGGACAAAGGAGACTGGCGGGCTACAGTCCATGCTCAAAGAGTCGATGTGATTGAGTGATTAAGCGCAGCACCCATATATATTAATACACGCGTTTAACTGAATCACTGTGCTGTAAACCAGAAATTAGCACATCGTTATCAGTCACCTATACTTCAGTGTTTTAAAAGCTAAATGAAATCTATGGTCTACACCATTCTGTGTCCTCTTTAAGTTCTGGTCGGATCCCAAATGATAAGACTTTTAAAAGGAAAGGTACCGACCCTTGTCCTCAGCCAACCATTCTGTGAAAATTTTATAGTAGTTGAAGGCTTTCCCCACCTTGTTCTGTGCTCAGTAAACTTGGAAAAGGCATTAACTTCTGCATAACAATCTCTCTGGTGCTTGAGAATCATGACTAAATTGCCTAGATTTTCTTACCTTTGTGCTTAACAGTCTAGTATTAACAAATGGGGATAATTTGCTAAGAAGGAAATTAAAAGGAAGAATATCAATAAGGCATGAAAAGGTTACCAAACGAATGTGAGACTTCAGAGAATTCAAAGTTGAAAAGGGAATTGAAATTTAAATATTTTAAAAATTCTACTTTTTTGATGTTTTCTTTCCTTTACCGTATTTACCCATTCCAAACGCAGCATGTGCCATTTTTTAAACTTGGCAAATGCAAAAGGGGTGGGAATCTACTTTTTCACAAAGGCAGACACCGTTAGCATTTCTAAAGTACCTGCTCTTAACACTTTCTCTAGTATTTCTTTTTGTGCGTACTTGCATTTCTGCCATGTGCTGTGCTGTGCTTAGTCGCTCAGTCGTGTCCGACTCTCTGCACCCCCGTGGACTGCAGCCCACCAGGCTCCTCTCTCCATGGGATTCTCCAGGCAAGAATACTGGAGTGGGTTGCCATGCTCTCCTCCAGGGAGTCTTCGCAACTCAGGGATCAAGCCCAGGTCTCCTTCACTGCTTGCAGATTCTTTAACCATCTGAGCCCCCAGGGAAGCCCAAGAATAGTGGGCAGCCTATCCCTTCTCCAGGGGATCTTCCCGACCCAGGAATTGAACCAGGGTCTCCTGCATTGCAGCCGGATTCTTAACCAGCTGAGCGACCAGGGAAGCCCACACTTCTAACATACATATACTTACTTAATATTGTAAGCAGTTTTCTAATTTTTTTTTTATTTTGCTAATTTCTTTTCTTTTTTTTTTTCCATTTATTTTTATTAGTTGGAGGCTAATTACTTTACAATATTGTAGTGGTTTTTGTCATACATTGACATGAATCAGCCATGGATTTACATGTATTCCCCGTCCCGGTCCCCCCTCCCACCTCCCTCTCCACCCGATTCCTCTGGGTCTTCCCAGTGCACCAGGCCCGAGCGCTTGTCTCATGCATCCAGCCTGGGCTGGTGATCTGTTTCACCCTAGATAATATACATGTTTTGATGCTGTTCTCTCGAAACATCCCACCCTCGCCTTCTCCCACAGAGTCCAAAATTCTGTTCTGTACATCTGTGTCTCTTTTTCTGTTTTGCATATAGGGTTATCGTTACCATCTTTCTAAATTCCATATATATGTGTTAGTATACTGTATTGGTCTTTATCTTTCTGGCTTACTTCACTCTGTACAATGGGCTCCAGTTTCATCCATCTCATTAGAACTGATTCAAATGAATTCTTTTTAATGGCTGAGTAATATTCCATGGTGTATATGTACCACAGCTTTCTTATCCGTTTGTCTGCTGATGGGCATCTAGGTTGCTTCCATGTCCTGGCTATTATAATCCTATACACTAACAATGAAAAAACAGAAAGAGAAATTAAGGAAACAATACCATTCACCATTGCAACAAAAAGAATAAAATACTTAGGTGTAAGCAGTTTTCAATACTGTTGGAATTCATGAGTGTACTAGTTATCTATTTCTTTATGACAAATTATGAACAACTTAGGGGATTGCGACCATAAACGTTTGTTAGCTTATGTGGTTGCTACAGGTCAGGAATCTAGGACAGGCTTAGCTGGGTGTTTCTAGCTCAGAGCGTTCCATGAGTTTGCAGTCAAGATTCTGGCTGTGGCTACAGTCATCAGAAGGCTTTACTCAGGCTGGGGGATCTGCTTCTGAGATGGGTCGGTCACATAGCTGCTGGTTGCCACAGGAGCCTCTCCATAGGGCCACTTTCGTGTCCTCAGGAGCTGGCATCTGGCTTCCAGCAGAGTGGGTGAGCCAAGAGAGAAAGGTGAGGGCCACAATGCCCCTTATCACCTAGCCTCATAAGTCACGCACGATCATTTCCGTAATCCATTGACTACACAGACCAACCATATTCAACATGCAAGCGGACTCTCAAGACTGTGAACCGGGAACTCACCATCTTGGAGACAGCTACTGCAATGGACATTTGTAGTAGCTGCAATAATTTTACAGTAGGAATCTCTATATCTGTACTGAGCTATTTACTTATGGTTAGGTGTCATTTCCAGTATTCCATCTTTATGAATAACTCTTTCAAGCACTTTCGTGTATAAAGATTTTCATCAATATTTCAGATCGTTTTCTTTGGGTATAGTCTTGGGAGTAAGATTGTTGAATTATTTTAAAATTTTCTTAATTTTCATTTTAAATCAGCTTTATAAAGCAAATTAATATTGTATATTGTCTATTTCAGTTAACAGATGCATTTCCTTGGATGTATTTGTTATGAATAGCTTTAAATACCTGTTCAGTGACTCACAACTGCACGTTTAATGCATTCTATATAGCATATACTTTAGGTAGATATTCTAGAGCATATAGGTGATATTTTGTTCCTTATGGTGTGTGGGTTTTCTTCATTATTATTTAAACATTTTATAGATCCTTCTGAGTTTGTTTGTTGCTGTTATTTTGGACAACTTGGAGCTTGATGAAGATCTAAAGAAGCTTAAACAAGTAAGTGATGTGTGGGGGATTCTTTAAACCAGCATTGAGAAAATAAGGGCAAAACATATGCTTACAGGTGATATTAAATCTGTTCAAACTTCAAAGCAAAGGTTTTAATAAATTAACACACTGAGTTGGCAAATATTTTTCTTTTAAGTTTAACCTTCTCTAATATCAAGAAAGGAATTTTTATTGCTCTGTAATTATCCTAGGGATATTTTAACATCATTATTTTGAGTAAAATTAAGATGGGCATGGTATAGTAAATTGAATTTAGATTCTCCTTCAGCCATTAAATGAAGGTTGTTTGGAAATGAAATGCCTCAGGGCCAGCTTGCCATTTGGCATAGCTATATGTAATACTTTCGATCATCATCATAAAACTATTAAGCATAAATTTGCCTGACCACTAGACACTAAAAGAGAATTTAGTCCTGGTGCTCAAAGTAGTTATTAGAAATGGGATAGAATAACTGATCAACTGTGTGCCCAGCTGTGTATGAAAACAGATTGGGTGTTATGGCATTGATAATCATTTCCAAAAAATCTCAGTGTAAATATGTGAAGATTCTGTTATTGATGGCTGAAAGATTACAGATGTGAATCAATATTCTCATAGTTTTTGTTCCATGGAAAATACTTGGCTTGAATATTTGACTTTGTCAAAGAGAAGAGACCCTTTGAGAAGCAGAATTTGTGAAACAGGGGAGCACCTGGATAAATATTCTTGGATCACCCACCTTGGCACTGCAATAGTTGGGATGTTAATAAAGAATATCCCATCTGGAACTTTCGAAGGGCCCCACACATTCATAATTTTCAAATTGGATCAAGTTGTCTATTTTTTACAAAGACATCACGTATTTAAATGTCTTGTTGTTATTTATAATCTCAAAATCACTTTAAGCATTTCACCTTTTTACTCCTGTTTATCTCCAAAGTTCATGCTCTTAACCAAGGATAGTCAATCATGTAAAAAACAGCAACAACAAAAACCCCATATTTGATGTAAAGATGCTTGCTGTGAGCATATCAAGGAAGAATTTGAATCCTTTCCTGTTCTGAGGCTACACAAGCAAATGGTTGTCCAAGTGTGGTGAACCGTTCTTCCAGATCTTTTCAACTTGTAGCAACAGTGATTGGCTCTTCAAATGAGAGTTGGGAAGTTCTTTGTGCTGTTGATGCCGATACTTCTCTTGGCTTCTAGCTGTAGAATAAATATGTGAGCAGCAAGTTCAGAATTGACCAATAATATAATTAGACACAACCAGTAAATATGCACTGCTGTATAACCACTTTAATCCTTGCTTTACAAATCTGGTATTTATTTAAGGATTTAAATGACTTTAATCTGTTATTCCCAAAGAGGAGGATGGGGAAAATGTGAAAAACTATTGGATTTTCTTAATGTTTCAAGCTCCAGAAAGCACTCTATATTCCACAATCTTTATTCAGCTTAAACTTTTTTTTTTTCAATCTTTGACCCTTTCCACCAGTTAGTCTGTATATAGCTTCCTATAGCTACATGGACATGAACACGAACTCAGTATAGTGTAGAGGTACAAACTCCAGGAGATAGTGAGGGACAAGGAGGCCTGGTGTGTTACAGTCCATGGTGTTGCCAAGAGTCGTACACAGCTTAGCAACTGAACAACAGCAACGATAGCTATGGTCACAATTGTTGAGCACTGGCTCAGTGCCAGGAACTTTGTATTTTCACCTAGTTAAATTTCACAGCAACCATGTGATGCAGGTATTATTCTTAGTTTCACCTGATAGGTGAGGAAACTAAGGCACAGAGAAGTTAAGCAAGTTGCCTAAGGTCACACAGCTAATAAGTGGCAGAGTTAGGGTTTGAACCCCGGCTGTTTGGACCAAAAGCCCAGACTCAACCTCTACACTGTACTGAGTCACAATAAAGCTGTATAAATGCCAACCATGAGTCATGGTGTGCTGGAGGCTCATTCATAGGACTGTTAATAACTTGTTGACAAACAATGGTGGTTTAGATGACACGGCGATCATTATAGCCATGAAATAATTGTTGGTGTAATGGATGGTTTCCTGAGGAATGAAGGTGAATTAAACAATCCAATCATTAAAGCTATACACAAAGTAGTTGTTTGTTTCCCCTCAAAAAGCAGATGATCTAATCAGAGGCACTGGAGTTGGGACTTTGGCAGAAGGTAAGAGCTGCGACATTTACCGTTCACTCCTCTGATGGCAGACACTGTCCAGAGCTCCTCCGAGAGCCTCAGGAACCTTCTGGAACTGTGACCCTCCTTAGACACAGATATAATGTGCTTGGAACATATTAACAGTTTAGAAAGGCTGCTAGAGACTGTTACTGTATTTTATTATGATCGTGGTAAAAGCAATTATGTTAAAATATATGTTGACTCATGGACATTTTTCACGAGTCATAGAAGCCAGTGTGAGCCACGTTTAAAATGGAGAAGTTAAATATGAGATATCGAACGGGGCTACAAGAGAGAAAGTTGGTCCTTGTGCTTGGGTAAGAGATTATGTCCCCAGGGGTGGACAGGTTGGGAGACAAGGGTAGAAAGCTGGACAGTGTAGTGAAGAAACTAGGATGGGAGAGAAGAAGAAAGAAGTGAAGACGTGAACGAGGAAAGCATCCAAGAGATGAAACTGAAGGTAAGAGCACAGACTGTGAATCCCAGCCTGTGATAAAGGAGGAGAAGCGTGACTGAATCCTAAGTCAGGCTGCCCTCTAGCCAAGGACACCCCTGCAGGGAGAAGCTCCCCAAGGAGCAAGAACAGTCCGCAGGATCCATTGTGGTGGAATCAGATTCTTCTTAAGTAGAAACATGGTTCTTACCTTTCCTTCTTATTTTCTGAGGTCTCTTCCTTGCCCTTTAGGACAGTGGTTTCCAGCCAGGGATGCTAAGCCCTGGGGCTCTTCAGGGCAAACATGGGACCAACAATTTTCCTCGACACCTCGGGAAACCTAAAGGGAATTGTGCATTTATCCAACCAAAATGCGAACTTTAAAATACTTTTAGCTGAAAGTTTGCTAGGCAGCAACACTGCATCCTAATGCTCAGAAGCCTCTTCCTATATGCTCTTCTTCAAGGAAAAAGAAGCAACATTGAATTATTTATTGCTTCATAAAGGCATTTTGATAGAAGAATTTTTTTTTTAAGATGGCATTCCGAGGGCAATAATAAAAAGGCTCCTTGGAGATGACTTTTGATGGGTTCTGATATAAATGCTCACCCCCAGGTCACCCTTCTCTGTGACATTACCAATGTTGGGCACTTAGAGCTGCTCATATAGCTCTTCCTTTGTCACTCTTCGAAATAAATAATGTTCTGAAAACTCATGCCAGTTATGCATCTGCATAAAATTTATCTATTGCTTTCCTAGCAGCAGTATCACTGGAGCAGTCATTTCCTGGCTGCCATAATTTATGTGACCCTGTTTCTAATTAATAGAGACCATGATTCTCTTTTTAGCATTCCCAAAACCAAATACAGGACCTGGAGATAGACAGAAATAGAGAAATATATAATTTTTTTTTACATAAGATCAGAAAATTGACTAGAAATGAGATTGAGAATGTATAATTTGGCAGCTGAGGAGTTAAATCAATTTGCACAGAGGCTGAAAAACCCCCTTGACCTACCGCTGTCCTCTAAAGAGCAAGCCGTAGGAGACAATGACCTTGGTGCTCAGTGATATAGCAAAAACGCTGGAGAACGTAGGTGGAGTTTTGCAAACTTTGAAAATGAAGAGAGTTCTTGCAGCTTTAATGATTTTTGCAAATTCAGTGCAAGACAGATATATAAAGTGTTCTCTTTTAAGCAGTAGAAAATTCATTAAACTATGAGAAAAAAAAAAACCCATAGAGAAGCCTCAGGGAAAGACTCATTGAAAAAGGAAGTATAGATAGTCTGTCTAGATTAAATCCAACGCTCTGAAATTAAAACTGTTTCCCCAGCTGATATTGTTTGATCTTTGATGGCGTCGTGTCCAAAACATAGTTGAGGGTAGACATGTAAAGAAGCTTCTCTGTCTTATTGATTATCCTTTTAAGAAAAACAGCAGAAATCTTAGTGCTATTTAAAATGTGAGCTCCGAGTTAATGTTTCTCTGTAGTCTTCAGTTCAGTTCAGTCGCTCAGTCGTGTCCGACTCTTTGCGACCCCATGAACCACAGCACACCAGGCCTTCCTGTCCATCACCAACTCCCAGAGCCCACCCAAACCCGTGTCCATTGAATCGGTAATGCCATCCAACCATCTCATCCTCTGTCATCCCCTTCTCCTCCTGCCCCCAGTCTTTCTCAGCATCAGGGTCTTTTCCAATGGGTCAGTTCTTCGCATCAGGTGGCCAAAGTATTGGAGTTTCAGCTTCAGCATCAGTCCTTCCAGTGAACACCCAGGACTGACCTCCTTTAGGATGGACGGGTTGGATCTCTTATTTGGGGGCTTTTGTGTGCATCTGTGTCTTGCCTCCTGTATTGAGGTTCTTCAGGATTTAGGGAGACAAGTCGGGGTCAGAGGGTCCACCCAGCTAAGCCCTGATCGCTGTCTTCTGGCTTCACAGAAGCAGAAAGTAGAGTGGTGGTTTCAGGGGGACAAAGAGGACTTCTTGTGGTTCAGTGGCTACAGGGTTTTTAGTTTCCAAAGATGAAAAAATCCTAGAGACCTTTGGTACACAATGTGAATGTACTTAACACTACTGAACTGTACCCTTAAAGAGCAGCTTAGACGGTAAATGTTATGTTATGTGTTCCTGACCACAGTTTTTTAAAAATTTTAATAAAAAGTTGGTCACCATACTGGTAAGGTGGTGAGAGCAGACTTGGGGATTCTGACGGTGCAGAAGTTGGGTTAAAGAAGATGAGTGGGACTTGCCTGGCAGTCCAGGGGTTAAGACCTCCCCTTACAATGCAGGGAATGCAGGTTCAGTCCCTGATCTGGGGCTGAGATCCCACATGCCCTGTGATCGAAAAACCAGACATTAAAAAAAGCAGTTTTGTAG